GTTAGTGAGACGTGACTGAACAATGGAGTGCGACGCATTGCTGCGATACTTCAAAAATGTAATGGTTTGTAAGACTCCTCATCAATCAGACATCAAGTCCACTCCTTGGAAAAAATGGACAGTGGTCGAAGTAACGACCGGCAAGAGAGAGAGAAACACATTGACGTATATTCACCTTGACAGCTACTGTAGCGATGACAGAATCTTACTAACCTTGAAACAACTAGCTAAGTAAATAATTGGAACTGATAGATTTCATAATTTTATATGACAAGTCTGTCTGGGAGAATCAGGCAGAATGATGCTTTAACTACATATCTGGGCAAGAAGATTGCGAGACCACTCAAATTATTTATAGCAAAAAAAATAGTTGGAAAAGCATAATCGCATGCCCATTTTGGATAGAGAGAAAGATATGCGGTGCTGAAGAGTTAAAAAACTTATTCCTTCAAGAAATGGAATTCTCAAATTGATGAACGATCTACTACTCCAGAGTTTCGTTGTGCGATTCAAATGACCGTTATTGGAAGCTGATTCACAGTTTCTGCTCATTGGTTTTGTGCTGCATGAAATGGTTGAACGTTTTGGTTAGCTGTTCTCCGGAAAAAATTGACTCATTCCTTGACAAATCTCAGAGTCTCTGGGAAAATTGCAAATCGTCGTTCAGCGGTTACTCAACTTGATCAGCCTATCAAATTACGTTTAGTTTGATAAAACTTGTTTCGTTTCGCGAAACAGCACGACAACAGATATTGGAAAAAAAACTATTCCATTGTTGGCAGATAAAGATGTCAAACTTTTAATTGCAGTTATCCCCGTATGTGCGCGATTATTAGAAGTTTCGAAAAAATATTTCTGACGCCTAATATAGGATAGACTACGTCGAATAAAATGAGCACGTTCAAACCAGAGGAGTCTCAAAAATTTGACCACAGCACTGCGAATGATTAACGCTGTTGGGAAAGCGAATTAATTTGTTTTTGAGAAATAAAGTAAACGCTAGGTAAATAATAAGTTTACCATAAAGAAGTTTTCTTTTTAAAGAAATTAATTTTTTTGTTCTACAGAACACTTGTAATTGCTTCAAGGAAAAACTTAATCTGCGATATACTCTATGCAATTATCCATCTACTTTGTGTTTACAACCGTCCATTTACAAGTTGACGGCCTTCAAAGAAACAAAGAAGAGTAATATTAGCATTTGAACGCAGTAGACTTAATTACAAAAGTCACAGCAATGAAAACAATCTTAAAACTTTCACCAATAGCGTAAAAGTGGTGGAATCACTTTCTTGAATTGAGGAAACGTTACAACGTGGCTAGTTGGTAGAATTCTTCGTAATTGACAAAAAGAATCAAAATTCGACAATTATGCCTATTCAAACGAGCATGCCGTTTTACTACGTTCAGCGTATTCGCAGCTATAAATTCGGTTTCACATTTCGTTACTAACTTTAAGTCGTACGGTAGGCGTTGCGAAGAAAATTAACGGCTGTATCTAGTCAATAAGCTTCACAAGTATACAGTAATCATGTTGATGCGATACGTTTGTGTAACTTTTGGTTTATGCATGCCCGAAGCAGCTTGTGCTATCATATTACAGCCTTACGTGTAACCGGTCACAGGTTGGATTCTTGTTCAGCGAGTCTCGTTTAAATTTCAAATTTGCATCTGATTTAACTCTGTTCACAACGTCGCAATTACGCCCGTTTCTCAGAGGAGGAACAACGCCTGTACTTGAGTTAGTCACGTTACGACAACAGCACTGCTACTGTAGCACGAAATGACGCCAGTTTAGATCCGATGGACGTGAGATTTTGCATCAGATAGTGACAACGGTTCTGATTGAGGCTGTGTCAAACGAACTTGCGTTTCGGTCTGCTCATTCGCGCTTAAGCCGGTTTAACGGAGCTACCGCGAACGCTGCGGGCAAGGTGCAAATTTTCATTATGCGGTGCGATCATTAAGGATTATTCAACAACACAGATGATTGGATATGGAACGCAGCATTCACTCCTGACATGAATGTTTGACGACAGACCCACTTAACAGTTGTTCGCGCCAAATTCAGCGTGATTCCCCATTGACCTGCGGTCAACACTTAATTTTACATAATCTGGTTGCAGCTGTACCTACTAAGCCACCTTAATTAGTCATTGCAATGATAACTGTTTCCCAGTGTTGATGATTAGCATGTGCTAGCGAGGAAATAATCTAGATTAGCCTCGGCATTTCTCACTCATACGCTTCCATTAGTGCGCGCAAATCTGATAGAAGTCAGGCGCCTATGCAGATACGGACAAGCGCAGCGCAAAGCCGTTAATACATCACAGCTGCCTTTAAAGGTTCAGCAACTCAAATGCTTAGCAGATTCAAAATTGTTGCGTTGCCAGTGGATTTGCCTTCAGCGACTGTCAAAATGTTAAATAGGGCCATTTGGGAGTTTATGCCATGCAAGTGATGACAACTTCATCAATTTGTTGCCAGTGGTTGTGAAACGCCTTGGCTGCGAAGAGCTGCTACAGCGAACATGTAGAAGTATGCGTGCTACCCCATCAACAGACGATGGTATTAGTACTGTAGTACTTATCTCTATATGAACGTACAGTTTTAGTTAAATTAAAATCGCATATGAACTAGTCAAGACCTGTAGCCAGACTTTGGGGAAAATTCATGAATTACTTCACATTGATAATCAAATTATCTGAAGCTGTACTTACTCACATGTGTTCCCTGGACGACATTTGATTACTTGTCCCTTAACTTGTACAGATTAGAGTAAACATGACTGGTGATCCTGAGAAGTGTCAGGCAGAACTAAACTCAATCATAATGTTGGAGGGCAATTTGAAAGGAAATACTCATGGAATTAGCATTGTCCGCTAGAAAACTTAATGCTTTGAGCAGTTCACGTGACTGTTAGAATATTGACTCAACATGTGCTGCACTGAAGTAAATCTTGCGATTAAAAGTAGTTTTGCTCGTCCTCCTGAAGATCCCCTTTACGGTGAAAAGCGGAATGCTGACCGTCGCGCTTCTTCACACATGTGACCTCTGCTATGTTTGCCCAACTGCTAACGGAAAATAAACTAGGCGGATATGAGGTATTCAGCATCTGAACGGACAAAAACTAAAGCACCTCACTAATTGGTGGGAAAATAATCTGTCGGGCCACCCTTTCAGCGCAGAACAAACGATTCACGTCCTGTCAAGTGGTGTCAGCACATTTGCAGAAAGAATTCCGTTTGACCGACAGGTAAATAACCACGCAGAAACTGCATTCGCGATTAAAAGCTGATGCCAGTCAGCTCATTAACGGTTTCCAGCGGCGATGAGTAAACACTAACCATCCTCTTTACCTACCTGATCGAAGTGCTTAGCACCTGGAATTAATGTTAACGCGTTCGAGTATCAACAAGGGCGTTGCAGTCAGTTACTCATAGTCAACGCTGTTCACATTGAACGTTCATCACGCTGTGCTTAAGACGATGTGTCTCTAGAATGGTGTTTGGTTTTCAGATCTGTCGAGCTATCCTGACAAACCGTGCTTGTTATAACAAGTAAGAAGCACTAGTCAACATCTAGCTTCACGCGCTAGCGCCAAACCATCCAATCCTTCATCAGGTCCCGCCTGATTCCGCTTCAGCATGTTCAAGTGTTGTTCTGGACGTTAAAACAAAGTCAGTGAAATGCCTATTGCATACGTACAGTACGGAAATAGCAGTGTGATTGTTGTAGCTGGTAGTAAAATGTGCATCGAAATACCGTAATACTTTTTGTAGCATTCACAAAAGTTAAATTTTCCAACTTCGATTGCGGTCGCCAGAGTTGTAAACTTTTTCTCAAACTAAATATGCCGCTATTTAACGGTTATTTGGAAGTTTTGGTGGTGTGAACATTCACTTTCGCAAAAAAACACAATTGTAGAACGATCATTAATACGTTTAAAGGCAGAAGCGGTAGTTTTGAATAGCATACTCATAGGTCCAATTACGGCCACTGCGTACTGGCCAGCTGAGAGTTTTTGCTCGCCACTGACACCGTTCTGCTAAGGCCGAATGGTTACCCAGCCCTCCAGTAGCTATTCAAAGAAAGTTTCAATCCTGTGAATGTGCCCACCGGGTCTGAAGTTAATGATCTCCGCAACAGCGGCGTCAGTTTTCTCTTCTAGAACAATGACAAAAGCTGGCGCTAATCGCTTAAACAGCTTTCGCTGACGACCGCTTTAAACCGAAAATTTCCTCACGGTCACTTCCGATGAGTCAAAGCCGCAAAGAGCGACCGATCCGACCCAACAATGCTCTATTTAACCGTGATATACCCTTCATATGCTCGGACACACAAAATTCTATAACATTTACTTTCGACGAATTCAAGAGCGATCACGCGAAGAATGCAGTCGTAATCCTCCCGCCTCGGGGCTCGCAGTCGCCTCGGGTCTTGCTCTGTCGTCAATGCGGTTATGACCGATTTTCAACCAGTCAATGTGTTCGACAACGACTGCTAAAGTTCATTTTAAACAACTCTTTTTGTCAAAATTAAGTGCCAAACGTGAAGACGACTGCCAGTAATTTCGCGAACGCTAAGCAATAGACTTCAAGTGCACGATAAACATTTCATTTTAATGTATCAAGCACCGTTAGGCGGAGTTACGCGTCACTTAGCCGATAGTCGTCGCTCATTGGCTGAACGTTTGACAGCTTATTGTACACTCCTGCTGTGATTCGGCACACAAGGTGGTCACCTGATAGTCGGTTTCCGTTAACGTTGCAACTGCGCGTCATATCTGGATTCTTAAATAACGGCTCTAGTGGCAAAATTCGGCTGTTGCCTTTTT